CTTATTGTGAAAGGTTCAGATTTTTCGAATGTACGTATTCGAAAATAAGAACATGAGGAGTTCGCCATTGTATTTGAGCAGCATGAAAAACATGCTTCGACTCTAGTCATATCTTAGGATAGAACTAAATAAAAGATGTGACACTTTTACAGTGAACTATTCTTATCAAGACCTATCTCTATGCCAAGTTTTAAATTGAAATTTGAAACTCAGTTCTCCTGATGTTCCTAAGAAGAATCACGGCATTCTACTAAAAAGTACAGTAGCTTGCCAGTAATAAACTGTTCGGTCAAACTCTTTTGAGAACATTCATAACTCATTAGAATCTACTTGATGTACAATAATCCTAACTCGAAAGCGATTTGGCATGTAGAAATGTTCTCTCATAACATATCTGTGATATCTTGGCGGTCTCATCTGTAGAGTGGTTCAAAATTCTACCCTATATATTTCAAAACTTTTTTAGATGGTGCTTCACAAAAATGATAGCTTACAATGGGTGATTATAAAACAACGAATTTAGTGTTTCCATTAGGTTATTATATGATTGAATATTTGCTTGATTTCGTGCTTCACGCATTTGATCTCGTGATATCAATTCATTTATTTCTAATGGTCTCCATAATTCGATTGCTGCTTTGACTGATTTATCATTAATATCTTCAATAATAGCTGGAGTATCAAATTGTTTACAAAGTTTGTCCATAATACAATCAAGTAATTCTTGTGTACTAGTTTTAGTTGCATGCATTGTACGTGTAAGTGATGGCCATAATTTTTCAAGTAGTGTCCATGAATATTGCGCTGGTATAAAGACTAAATCATTTCCAAGAAGAATATAAAGACAACCTTTTATTTGATCATGATTAGCTCCATCTGAATTATCTAGTAATTCTAGAATATGATCAATAATTACTTGATATGAAAAAAGATAACATCGTAAAATATAAAATAAATCAACTTGTGCGTTACAACGGACCTATATGAGATAAATAAATAAAGAAAATTATGAATTGTCGAATGATGAATTATTCTTTGACTTACTTCACTGTATCGATGAATTGATAGTTCGAATAATTTAAGTATCACTTGTCTATCAATGTCAGTTAAACTTGGAAAATTACTTATAGATAATAACTATTCAAAAGAAGTGAAGAAAAAACAATTGATAATAGTTCAATTCGTTTATTTATTTGAAATAATTGATTTACTTCAAGTTGCACTTCTATTCGTTTAATGATAACAAAACGAGGATGTTTTCTTTTGCCGAATAATTTATTTTTATATAAATATTTAATAATTTGAAAATCTTTATATAATTCGTCTATGTCTTGTTCAAATACACCAAAATAGATTGATGTCAATGAATAAATCTATAAAGAATAACAAGAAGTTTAACTGAAGAAAAAAAAACCAGATTGAATACCATACTTTTAGAGCAATCTTTATAGATGATGCATCATCTGAATGATTTTCAACAAGAACATCTAAAGAAACATGATTTATTAGCTTTTATTTTTTTTAAATTTATTAATCAAAATTTACCAAGTAATTTTCCAATATCATTTAAGAGACGTATTCGTAAGTTTTCTCTGAATTCTAAAATATAAATAAATATTATCATTGTTCAAAAATTTACTCTTAGTTTTAATATCATACGAGGTTGTTTAGCATAAAGCATATATTTAGGTCGATGTTTTGTATCAAATGAGACTACAGATGGTACTCTATGAAAAATACATTGATATTTTTTTCAGTTGAAAATATTATTCGATATTAACTTACAGATCTGATACTTCTTCACTATCAACACGTGGTACCATACGAAAACATCCAATAGCTATAAAACGTATTAGAGTAAGCGATCTTAATCGTTCTTCATTTGACATTTTTGAACATGTTTCATTCAATAATTGTAATTCAGGATAAATAAATGTTTCAACAAATTCACATGCAAAATCAACTTCTTCTTCATTTGGAATATGAAATTGAACTTGAAGTTTATCAAATTCAACATGTTGACCCCATGCCTAGAATGAATAAAATAACATGTGATTACATAAAAAGCTGTTAGTCCAATCCATGCAAGATTAAAATGTGAACGACGAGGTAGTTGCTAGTACTAATGGCAGAGAGATTGCTTTATAATATCTATGTTCAGGCACATTTCTTCAATATGGTTTTAGTCACTCCACCAGAAATGCAATAAGGAAATAACGGTTTTTGAAATTTCTCCACTACTATCCACTTGAAGGAAACTCTTTTTTAAAAAGAGATACTGCTTGAAACGCTCTACCAAACTATGTATGATTTAATCCGAAAATTGTTTTAAACATATTTGAAAAAACAGATGAAAAATAAAGACATTCAAAAAGTTTTAAAAAATAAATATGAAAATAGTAGTGGATCAGTAAAAATCAATCGTGACTTAGATGGAATAGTGTCAAAATAAAGAATTAGTTTGTAGATGAAAATGATCAAGAACACTGACTTTCTCTTTTTGTCGCATTCTCCTTGCCTTCAAGACACTACTCAAACAATAATCAATATACGAAACACAATGGAAAGCTTCAGCATAAGCAGGTGGCCATGCGGTTTTTTGCTAACAAATGGCTTTTGTTTGACTGGAAATGACAGTATACCACTGAGAAAATCGTTTTTAAGAAAATAAAAGTTACCATCAAGTCCATAGGTGAGAAAGTTTTGTGCGATATTGTTTGCTTGTGAAATATGGTGTTATGTTGCCGAGCGGCTTGACTTTCTTGATCTATGCCGATTTCTGGGCCCAAGCCTTGTAAGACTTTTTTCTAGGGCCCTGTAAAAGTTTGAGAAATGTTATTTTAGGAAATGATGGATCACATATGCATGTATCAATGCAAACAGTTAGATTCTGGAAAAGAATATTTTCACATACGCCTGCGTGGCTCTCCAGTGTGGGAAGATAAAATGTCATCTACTTCAGAAAAAACAGGTGCCAAGAAAAAAAACTAGTTTGTTCCAATTAGTCAGTGCATTACTGTATAAACATTTTGCCTGTTCCTCATATAGACAGACCAAGAAACTAAGCAAGAGATATTTTTACAAAAACTAGAGTTTTCGTTTAATACCTGATTTCTGACAAAAGTGTTAGATCTCATCATATAAACAATCTGAGACAAAAATGGTGTTGATCATTTTACTGGCTTCATTCTGAAGAATTATCGGCTACCAAATTCATCTGATTTATGTCTATTAGTTTACAGTTTATAGAATAAACTGGTCGAAGCTATGAATTGGAACCACATAGCAACATAGGCAACATAAATAGACGACGTAAAACGTTCTATCAAAAAAGTTGAGGAAGAAAAAATTTCACATTCTATACTTGATTAAACTGTACGATCACGTTTGATCAAAAAACAATGGTGGAAACTATATTCGTTATATAAAGGAAACTATTTTGTGCAGAATTCGAAGCCCTATCTAATGATAGAAATATTGCTTTTCCATTAAGTGGATGATAGAAAGAAAATTTTCAAAGTACTAAAAGGGTAACTTTTTATGCGCATTTCGTCAGTTCGTATGTAATAACGAAACACTACTGATGTACGGTCTTTGATCGTATATCAATAACGTGTGAAAAGAAGAAGGAAAGGAGGTTACTAAGGCGTATGTCACGGTCTATGATGGTCTTTGGCTAGTGTCTGTTACGGCCTCAGAGACGACGACAAATTGTTCCCTTCTACAAACATTCTAAGTCGTGTTTCTCAAACTAATTAAATGAACTTACTCGAATAGGTAAAAAGTCTGTAAATGGTTCTTCAATATTTTCAACTGTTAGTCGATATTCAATTGGATATACATATGATAATGATTTAAGTAAATTTTTTGCAGCATTTGCTACAGCTTCATATGATTCTTTATGAATGATATGAACACATCGATGAAAGACAGATAGAATCATTGGTTTGTATATAACTAATGTATCACCACGAGCACGAACAAGTTCAGAGAAAAGTATTAAACACCATGTCAATTCTCTATCTCCTTTATGATCAGTTAATATTGTTGTTTCTGAATGATTTAAAATATTTTCAATACGTTCACATGTGTGTGGTAAAAGATATTTGAGTGTTTCTTCAGGATTTCCTTTAAGAATAGCACGAACAAGACCATTAAGAAGTTTACTAATTTTAGGTGAGAAAGATGATGTTGCCAAAAAGTTTGTAATTTTTTCACGAATCATCTAAATAAAATATTCCTCTGTTTACTAATCAAACAAAATCTTACTAATGAACATACTTGAAATATTTTATTACTACATTGTTGAACAATACCAGATATCATTGATGTTAGTTCTTGACTAGCTGCTTGATCTTCTGAATTTGCTTCATTAGTTAGAATTACAGCATCAGACATTTCAGTAGATAATGTATCAATCATTTGAAATGTTCGATTAAGAAATTCAGTTATGAAATCTTCAAATTTAGCTGTTGATAAACAAACTTCTTTCTCAATCTATTCAAAAGAAAAAAAAAAAAGAAAAATTTTTTTATTATATATTTATAGTAGAATTTCAAAACTAAGATTCTTTTTTTTTTTCTTACTTCAGTAAGATCATTTCGAGTATGAACAGCCGATGAACAATCAACACATGTAACAAGCATTAGAATAGCATTAAGAAACTGAAATGTTACAGCAGTTTTTTTGAAATCATTTGAATCAATACCAGGTAGAACAGCCATTAATAATGGTATAACATATGTTTGACCTTGTGAAAAATCAGGTGTTTGTCGTACAATTTGACGAGCCATATCAGCTAGGCAAGTAATAATAGATGTAAAACGATGTGGCTCAGTCATACTATTGATAGAAGAAAATAGCCTAAAAATGACTGAAAGAGTTAAGTATTAGAACAAATATGAAAATATACGAACAATTCAACTAATGGTGGAACAATAAGTTCTGGTCGAAGCATTGATAAATATTGACATGCTTTAGCAGCTTCTTCAAGATGAGCTTTATTAAAAATTGAAATAAATACACATTCTTTGACACAATTAACAAAATCTGTAATTTCATTTTCTGTTATGCGATAAGAGCTAGGTGGATTGAAATGCCATACAGGATTAGATTTACGTTCTCTATAATAAATTTTTATTCAGATTATTTATACTAAAAAAAATGTATAATTTAACTTACAAATGAACACGGTCTAGAAATGCTTGAGACAGTTTTGAAAGAAAACTAACAAGATCTTGTTGAAAATCCCCTGTATTTGATGGATGATAAAAACTTTTAATTGCAGTAAATAAATCTTTTAAATATTGTAAACATGAACTTCCATTGCCCATCATAGCAACAATCCATGTTGCAGTAATTGATATAGAATAGTTTTGCGTTTGGGATGAGACTTGAACATTTGCGACTGGAAGTGAAAAATTTTTAAGTATGCGTGTAAAGATCTAATAGACAAAACTCTTTTTATGACAATGTAATTAACAAAACTATACTTTGGGTAGCCAAGGTTCCCACTCAACATATCCAATATTACACCATGCAACAAAAGAAAATATATTAATCATATTCTAAAAAATTAAATAAGAATAATCATCTAAATTTTCTTAATAACTAACTTGTTCCCATTCAGGATTACTACAAACACTTTCCCAAATACCCAAAAACTCTGGTAACCATAATCTGATTAAAGAAATACATTATAATCAAATGAATAATTTTCTTTTCTTTTTTGAATCATACTTAAATCCTTGATCGTGTAAATCTGGTGGTAAATGAACTGGCAAGAAAAGATCTAAATAACACATAGCGTCACTAAAAGCTGAATCAAATGGACATAACCATGGACGAAATTCATCAAGAATTTCTTGTGTTGATGCTGCCGAAAAATATGGACGACAACTACGAACACAATATAAAAGTGATTTTTCAATATCACTAAATAAGAAAACACAAGTGTTTTATAAAATACCAAAAAAATACAACAAACTTTGGTAAAGCAATCAATGAATAAGATTCATCATTGTTAAAAAGAATTAGTTTTACCCATGTATAAAGTTGTCGCCAATCGACAATAAGATTATCTCTTGTAATCAAACGAGACTTACTAGAATAAATAAATTATTTATTATCCAACAGAAAAAAACATGAATATTAACTTTAAAAGTTCATCAATAATATCAAAACATGTTTTTGCATTTGAATAATTTAAGTTTGGAATAGTGAGTACAGATAGATATAAATGAATTAACTTAAGATGATCATTTTTATTAAAACAAAAACCATAAAGTGAAATAAATTGTTGTAGTTTCGATGACCAAAGTGGAAAACCTGGTCGTAATTCACGTAATTGGATAATACGTGAAAGATTTTCACAAATTTCTTTAAATGACTCTGCACTTTGTTGTTTGACAGTGTCATAGAATGGTAAAAATTTATTGTAAATATTTGGTTTTTGAAATTTATCTATGTCAAGTTTGTCTATATACTGTTGTTTATTATGCATTGTTTTTTATTTATCTAGTAAGAAAAAGAAAACAAATCATAATATCAAGAAAAAAAGAAGATAAAAACATGGTTTATGCTTCAAATATCAAGTATTCCACGCAAAACATCAACATCCATTCTAACACATAAACTCATTCTTATACAATTGATGAGGGATGTTCCATAATAACTGATGATAGATTGTTAATGGTATATTTTATACTTTTTCTTGAGTTGGAGAGCTGAAGTTTTTATCACATATATATCAAATCAAGATCTTTTATTTCTGAAAGTTACAGCTCTTTAGCTGTAACAGCTGGTGAAATATATTGACAAGACTGAAAGCATGAGTTTCATACTCGATTTTTGTCTCATTTTGCACAAGAAAAATAAAAGCAAAGACCTTGTACAAAAACTTATGTATTTCAATTTCGTCGACGTATTTTATCAGTAGTTACAGCTAGATAGCTGAAATTTTCAAACATAAAAGATCTTGATTAGATGTATATGTAGTAGAAATTTCAATCTTCTGCATCATGAGAAAGTACGAAAAACATTCTTAAGAAATTTATTCTCAGCTATTATGAGATACTTTTATGTATTTCAATCTTGTCGATATATTCCATGATTCATTCTAGTTCTAGAGCTAAACTTTCAGAAATAAAAGTTCTTGATAAGATATATATGCGATAAAAGTTCCAGCCCTCTACACCAAGAAAAAGAATAAAAAGTATCATTAACCATGTATCATCTGTTATTATGGAATACCCTTTGTCATGCATGATAGTTATAATAAACAATTATCTTAATCATTCATTTATAGTTTTGTAGCATATGACTAGTATAGCTATCCTTTCCAAATGTCTGAATAATTCAAACAAAAGTGGCATTTAAGCTTGAAGAAACTGTCAAATCATTTCGAATTTCATTTTCAAGACTATAGTTATATAGTACAATAGAAAAAAATGAATCAAGTCATATCGGACGTCTGTTTGCACGATCTTTGGTATATTGATAGTGCATTGCTCGATCAAAAAACAGCTATCAGGGAGAGAGCTACCAAAATTTATTCTTTTAGGATTTATATGGATTTATTTATCAATAGCATATTATACATTTTCTTTCTATCAGAAAAGAAATATAGCTATGAAGAGACAGCTTTTACTTTCAGTTCGAGCTCGCCAGTTTGGTCCGAAGTCTATTTGCAAGTTCAAAAATTTTAGTCTCAGTGAGCTTTAGTCATCTGAAAAATATGTAGGATGACCTGGTCAACGAATAGAAAAAAAATATAAAGAATTATATCTCGTATCTTCGAGATGACTATTCGATTCGAATTAAAAAATTTCTTTGAGAATATCAGTTTAACATTTGACTAGGTCCGAATCTGAAAACGTTGGATCCAACGAGCTCTCTCATCAGCTGATTGTTATCTCTAAATATCTTTCCCGTCCTTACCATTAGCTTGGCGCCTGCCTTTAATCTAGATTCTTCTATTTTATAATAACATATTTAACGAGATATATAGAAATATTTCAATAATTTTCAACAAAATAAATCTCAGAAGCGGTTGCTATTGGTTTACCGTGGTTGAATGGCGATCAGAGGATAGCTAACTCTTTTCATATCAAACTAACAACATTTTTATGTCGGTTCAAATCATATGACAGTTCATTAGATAATTTTTGAAAAACGAGATGAATATGAACCTTGCTCATAAATTTAGTATTAAGGTTTTTGTTGAATCAAAATATCTTTGTTTTTAGTGAAGCAAGGAAGACTAGGCTCGACTCACCCTAATGCTCCGTCACTACTTGTATTATTTCAAGTTATATGTTTTCTATTATTCTTCTATTGATATTAACTTTCATAACAAATTGTAACTCATTCATTTTTTTCATATTCATTCTAGGCTTTAGAATATACATATCTATTAACTCATGAAACAATTGATTATATGACTAATAATTATAATAAGACAACAGCATTACTCTTTTCATTTTATTTCAATAGTACGAATGAATAAATAGCAACCTATTTATTAAATAGAAAAGCATAATCATGGGATTTTTTTTCTGTGAACTGTTTTCTGTTGTACTATTTTCATATAATTTGATGAATTTCTTCAACTTAAATAAAACATATTTTCAATAGAAATGTTATGTCAAATGGAAATCTAGTTATTTCAGCAGCAGAACTTATTAGTACAAGCTGATAAAAATTAGATAGAAAAGAGAGTGTAGTAAGATACATCGATTGATATACATTTATAGCTTTCAACAAAAATATTAGATAAGCAAGGATTGTAATAAGAAAAATTACTGTAGCAAAATAGCATTTACACATAGAATATATTTACCTCGTTTTTATTTTTATTATATACGGATTTTTTTTATTAAGCTAAAAAAAAATAGTTATTCTAATATTGATATTATAAATCTATGCTATATTTATATGAAGAAGAATCAAAAATAACACAATTACTATTTCTCTAGTATTATCAGAAAAACTTAGCTAAACCTTGCATATAATAAAAGTAATAATAAGAAATTAGATTCTAAGAAAACCTCGTATCTTTCTAAAACTAAAATAAATTATTTGAATTACAAAAACAAACAATTCATAAATATTCCATGTATGGAAAAGATTATGATATTTTTTCATTGTAATTTGAATTCTAGAACTTACAAATGTTTTTTTAGACATAATTAAACACTTTACATCGTTTTTCTTGATCATTTAAAGGTAAATTTCAAAAGTCGATCATGCAGGTATACTAATATCGAATGTTTAGAAAATGCCGCTGGGAGAGAATGCTGCTAACTTTTGAAGAAAAAGTGATCGACATCTGCAGTAGCCATTGTTGGATAGAGCACCGCGGAGGACGTAGTAATATGAAATAATCAGACCTTTAGGTATGGTTTACGATGGTGAATATTTGAAAGCAGATTCGACGAACTTCCCATTACCTAAACATATGACAGGTTTAGGTTTTCAAATAGTGAAATCAATAGTCTGGATCAAGATCTACGATTTCGGACTGGTCGCTGATCTGCATCTTTTAGGGTTCTAGAGTTATAAGCATTCTTCGCAAAAGTATCTATTCTTATGCAGTCACAGATAAAAATTCTAAAAGCATTTGATATATGGACTATCGAATACTCTAAGCATCGTGGCATTACTTGTTCGGAATTCGAAGAACGTGTTTAAATTTGAATCAACTTCAAAAGAGGTTAAACTGCAGTGCCAAACTGCAAACTCAGCTGCATAGAGTATAGTACTTTTTTTATAAGTATTCGTTTGGAACCTGTTGTAATTTTTGGATCCTGATTAGAGTTTATTAGATAAAGAAAGACGTTTAGTTGCCCAATTGGTGCAAGAGAGAATACTTGAATTTCAGCTGTTCAATGTCGTGGTATCTAGACGAGTTTCTACTTTTAAATACCGGTATAGAAGAAAAGACAAGTGCATCTACTTTTTTCAATCATTTTCTCCTCTAATGTTTGTGTTTTCCGTTCTGTTCGACGGTCGCAGTCATTTTTCGTGATCCTGTCCTTCACTCTCATTTTCATAATAGTTTCATTCATCGTGCCGAGAGACCACAAATTCAGTATTAATGAAGAAGTTCTAATCGTCAAAGTAATAAGATCTTGTGAACAAAATGAGACAAGGTCGATAATTCCTTTGAATAACTTAATTGAGCGAATTGCAAACATGTTAGACTTTTCGGAAAGATCAGTGAACAGATTGAAAGAGGAATAAATAAATTGATACAACACGGGAAACAAGAACTTGAAGAGCAATATAAATAAAAGCAACCAGGTCTATCAAAACGGCATCATTTAAAATTTGAAAAATGGCCGTAAGTGTTGTAAAAACGCAGTGTGTAGAGTTATGTACCGTTTCAATACGTTTTGCTTATGGCCCCTATTAGACTGTATTATCTGACGCAGAACTACCGGCAGTATTATATCTGTATCGTAAATAGCCTGTATTTGGTCATTATCCTTAGTTTTACCGATAAAATACGGCCAGTTGTATTATTATGTGTTGTCATAGCAAATGACCGTAAGCATAGAATATAATGTCTACTTATGAAGGGTTGGACAACTTTTCGATCGGTGAGAGAAATTCATGTTTCCGGCAGAAACCAGATGCTCCGGTCGAAAATGGTCGTCTTAAAAACATATTCGATTGAACTAAAGCAAATACATCATCGCATATAAATAAAAGTCATGAATAAATACAATAACAAAAGAACGTCGGTATTAATTAAATAATTATTTAAGATATGATAAACATGCTACCATTTATCAGCTTTATTCATATGTATACAGAAAAGGAGGACAATCAATAGAAACTATGACATTTTCGCAACAGAGTTTGCTGGCGAAAAAATCCGTATCCTCTGAAAAAATGACATTATCCATAAGAAAAATGGTAGGTAGAAATGTATTTATGCTTATATGTCAAGTAATAATGATCGTATATTTAAAAAGAATTACATATACTGTTTCTCAGCCAAAAAATGAAAATCCCACAGAAAAGTGCAACAAGCTTTAAGAAAAATGGCTTGTAACAATGGAATTATATTTCTATGTTTGAAAAATTATCAGAGTTAGTAGTTATATACAGAATTGCACTCCAGAAAAAAGAATATCCGCATGAAACATGGAATTATCCATAATCATTATAGCTTTAAATCGTAGAATATGGCGTTATTGTTCCTGTTATAATTCTAGAAAGTAGTTGAAAACTTCCTGTATTCTAATTTCGTTCTCAAAATGTTGTCCTCTGTCTGTTAGTAGTAGTACGTGGATTGTGCTTTACCATGAAAGATGAAAAATTTCAAATGGAGAAGAAAAATGTTCGATATTAGTATTGGTGGTCTAATTTGTTGTCTAGATATTAGTTTCATGTATAAGTGATCGATGTTGTCCTTTATGTGAAGCGTCCTCTTTTAGATAGAAAAAATGCAAGTTGCAACGAAGAATGAAGGTCATAAGTTTTCATAAAAGTGAT